CGTGCGCCACATACACTACCACCTCCACGACGTCGCACCATCGTCCTCGCTGTTCGCCCGCATCGTGCACCTGGAAACACCTCCGCCTCCACGACGTCCACGCCGTAGTCCTCGCCGTTCGCCCGCGCCATGCACCCAAGCCATCATCCTCGGCTACCGCGCCGCTACCTCGACGCCACCTAAGTCATGCACCCGAGTCGCCGTCTTCGCATATGTAGACCGATTGACGTTGCCCGTCCTCCATCGCTTGCCATGCATGATGTTACACAACCATAGTTCGTGATGCTACAGACGTTCTTGTTATCTTATCATGCGATTCATGATATTGTGTGCCTACACATTGGATGCCATTGTTTTTTTTAGCATAGTTAGCCCTTTGTCTGTACCAATCTCGTTTCAAGTAGCTCGAGACTTATTTATTTACTAATAGTCTCAATTCATGAGCTTGGTGTACCAATGTTAAATACTTTACTGGTAAAATATATTAGATACTTTTCTCTTGTCAACTTTTTTATGGCCACTGAATTTTTGGCTTGCTAATTTAATATTACACTGGATGGTATTCTGATGTTTGGCATCAGGCCTTTGCACCTCTAGACCTCACTCGCTGAATTGGTGTTCCCGTAACAGCAACACCAAGCCAGGTCATAAAGTTATCTCTGCACTGCAAAATGTCTGTGGATTCATCTTTGTTTATTTTTGAACAATCTGATGTAGGCAGGCAAGAAAAAGAATGATGATTTCTCACTTGAAGTTAAACCTTGAAAAGGAGGGATTTCTCACTGAACTTGCCCTGAATTGTTGCAATTTATTGCTATGGCTTATATTTGTAAACTCTAGAGGATGAGTCAATGGTTGGCATTGATACACTGATGCTTGATGTAGAGCACAATCAGCTGCCATGTTATTGAGCTTAAAATAATGATATTGTAGCTAAGGTAACTTTTTATGTCTTGGCATGGCCATGTTGAGTCCAGGTTATAAATATGAAGCTCAGATAATTTTACTGGCAAAAATAGAAAGATGACAAGCAGTTCAGTTTTTAGGTTATACATATAAAGCTCAGATAAATTACTAATAAAAATAGGAAGATGACAACCAATTCAGTTTTCTGAGAATGTGACAATTCATAGACATTGTTTTCTTAAAAAATTTATGGTCCTCTCTCTTCAATTGTATTAGTGATGATGTAAAAAAAAGTTAAAAACCAACAATGTCTCTCCATCACATGTTTTCTTAAAAAACATAGTGAATAATCAACAAAAATGTGGCGGGGCATTGCTTATTTGTTAATTATCTGAGTCAACAAAAATTTGGAAAGGAATATACAGTAGAGTCGGTGAGCTTACGACTCCGCCGTGCTCTTCGTGACCATGTTAATTTTATGAACTTTGCTTTTTGGATTGATGTCATTTTAATGTGGATATTTAATTTGACAGTATTGTTATCTTATTGAGCGATCTATGTATTTTTAATATAAAAATTTAGTTGTCCCGTAATAATGCACGGGCACACTGTATATCCCGCATTTTTTAGAATGTTTATCAAGGTTGGTCATCCGGTTTATGTGATGCAATCACTATCTTCTCAAGCTTTAGCCAGATTCATGGCTATACATTTATGCAAAAATTGATCCACAAGAAACTAACAAACATATGTATATCCAACAGACATCGTACTAATTTAGATGTATGTGGTTGTCTATCTAGACTTGCTCCTGCTCTCATGAAATGAACTTTGCTTTTTGGCACTGATTATGCCTTTGTCTGATTATTTATTCAGTTAATGAGTGTACATTTGTCTATCATAGGTTATTATTTTTTTCAGTTAATGAGTGTACATTTATCTATCATAGGTTTGCTCAAAAGAAATAAAAAAGGATCTTGTTCTTATGTTCACTTGAATGGTTGAGCTGATGTTTAGTTTAACGAATATCGTACTTGATAAACCGTTGTGGTCGACAGATCCTCAACACCAAGCTACAAAGTGTTTTGTTCGCTAGTCCTACTCACCATCTTTGCGCAAGACACATAATTTGGCTAGGTACCTAACATATCTCTCTTTTTTATTTGCATGCAGGCAGGGATGAAAAAAATATTGATTGTTTTAGTTTCGCGTGGAGACAAGAAAAGATGCAGCTTGAGATGAAAGCATCAGGCGTTCCCAATCTAGGTGACCGTGAGTGACGTGCGTATAGTCTTTAAGTCATGATTTTGTTTCTTTTTCTTTTTTCAATTTTGCTTGATTCGTTTTGTTGATTATGTTAATGGTACTGTGTGCATTCATTTATTCATTGCTTGGGTGCTCCACGGAGGTTGCGTTCTACCTGGTTGGAGTCGACAGCGCATGGACGTTGCTCGACACCAAACTAGAGTTCTTCGTGGGGTCCATCGTCCACTGCCAAGATAAGTTCTTAGTGATCGACTGCACTGGAGAAATCTCCGTCTGCAATAGCAACGTCGTCGACGCTACTCTAAATGCGATGATGCTGCCATCGCTGTCGCCACCTGCGGGGCTCTGCCACTGCAGCTACCTAGAATTAAACGTTGAGCTGCACATTGTGGGTGCCATGGTGAGCACGTTCCACGAGACACAAAGCTTCACCTACAGCAGCGCGATCTACAAGTGCAACCTCCACGACCGTACGCCGGAGTGGTCCAGGGTGAGGGACATCGGTGATCAGACATTGTTTGTGTCTAAACATTTCAATGAAAGCTTCAGTGGAACAAGTGTATCCAAGTACAAGGAGAACAAAATTTACATGTCTGAGTCATCTGAAGTGTCTAAACATGTCTGATCCATATGACTTGGTCCATCGATTGGAGATCGTTGATATTGCTACCGGCGCATCCGAAGTGAAGCCCGTCCAGGAAAAGATGCAGGGTTCCGAGGCTCTAGGTTGGATTCGACCCAATCTCTGGAAGGGAGGTACGTTGATGTTCTTCAAAGGTTTATTACTTCAAATACTCATATTAGGGCAAGCGCGGTTGGGATGTTTTTCGCTTCTGCACACAAGCAATGCTAAAAGAATTCGATATATGCCACATTTAGTTATTACTATTAGTTCATGAACTGAGTTAATTTAAACAAAATCTTAACTGACATACATTATATGTATGAATGTAGCCAGTTCTCTCCTTTTATATTCAACTAGGTAGCATGCCCGTGCGTTGCTACGGGACAACTAAATCTTTTGTACTAAAAACACACGGATCGCACGATAAGATAACAATACTGTTAAATTAAATACCAACGTTAAAGTGATATTTAATTCAAAAGGCAAAGTTCATGAAATTAACATAGTCACGGAGAGCGCGGTGTCGCAGGCTCACAAACTCTACTATATAGACTTTTTCGTGATATGGCTAAGATAATATTTTATATCGGTAGAAAGAATTCTCCGATATCCATTTCTTTCATGCGCCAATAAATCCATGAATAAGTTCCGTTGCATCTCTATATAAACATGTACACACAGGTTAGAGTATATATGTAAATATTAGTGCCTGTCACGTGGATAATACTGCGTGTCTTAGAAAATCTCTCATAAAATTTTAAAACAAAGTATGTTATACTCACCGTATAAATATGTGTGGCTTTAGGACTATTCCACACAGACATATATTGTAGAATAAGGTATCCACTTGAGTGTCTGTTCCAAGATGTTGAATTAGGTGTTGTAATTCTTAATTTCAACATATTTTTCAGGTCAAGACAACCAATGGTGACACTTTTCTTAGTAGTGCATAATTTTATGGTGCACCTCTTAGACTATCTGAGTAAGGACAAGTTAGCACTGCAAAGACTCAAAAAAGCTGTTGAGAAGGCCAAGATTGAGTTTTCCTCCACTATGCATACTAAAACCTATGTCCCCGTTTATCATTGCTGATGCTTTTGATGCAAACCAATTCAACATTACCATGATCAGATATAATTTTGAGTCTCTTGTGAGCAATCTCATAGAGGGACTCACATCCTTTATGTGATCTGCCTCAAGGATATTGGCAGGATGATGGACCCATGTTGGAATGTCGCACCAAAAAATGTCCACGTTTTGTCCACAATTTATTTCCCATGAATACATGCGGGTACTATGATAACACTAACTACACCAAATAAAAGATTAGAGAGAATTTGTATTGCCTCCAGAAGGATTTATTTATTAAGTTCTTTGGACGCTACAGATAGTTTTGAAATATTTGTTTGCATGTCTTACCTCGTATCCTAATTCAAAATTTTATAGTTTAATTAGAATATTTAGGTCATTGTATATATATAATATTCAATACAAGAATAATCTATGCATGATCTTCTTGAAAGATTTCTGCAGTGTAGAGACATCTTCGTTTTTCATGCATGTCCGTGCTAATGCTACGGTAAAAACAAAAGGACAATATATCAATTAAAAAATAAAAACAAAACTCATGCTCAAAGTCAAAGAAATAAATTATGTATGCTTGAATTTTGTCATCCATTATCTACCGGCGTGCCTACAAAATAGACTGAATAAACAATTAAACATAGATAGAAAACTAAATTAATAAAAGGATCATTGCAAGACATCAATCATCTCATAGCTTCGGACAATATCGCAAAGCTACTAAAAACTGTAACCGTGCCCTCACCTCAAACATTGTCTAGATAAATGGATTACAATGAAAGAAACGAATATCAGAGATTTCTTCCTACCAATATTTATCTTAGCTGTATCACGGAAAGGTCTATCAAGTAGAGTTTATGAGCCCGCGACGCCGCGCACTCCGTGACTGTGTTAAATTCATAAACTTTGCTTTTTGGATTAAATGTCTCTTTAACGTTGGTTTTTAATTTTTACAGTATTACTATCTTATCGTGCGATCCATGTATTTTTAATATAAATTGTTAGTTATCCCATAGCAATACACGGACACACTACATGGTAGAAAGAAAAATAACCAAGAAACCACAAGCGGTGAAACTGTGTGCGAAAGGAAAAATTCACATGACAGAAGCATCACCTTCTAGAAGACCAAGCTACTGGATCTGTATCCACTCAATGTCTTGCAACTGGCCCAATCAATTGGACTTACCCTTACTTGGACTCTCCTGCAAAGAGTTGACATATTCAGATCCACCGATCGCCATAAGCGCATAGCCGCACATGAAAGTGAGAAAAGATGAGCTGCAATATTAAAAAAAACATGCTAAATGCTCAGTGTTCTGTAACAACATCCATAAGCTCTACTTCTCCAAAGAATGAAAATCACAATTGCTGCAAGTAAAAATAATGAAGTCTGTAGCTATATACAGAGGAACAGCTCTTAAAATACAGAGTATAAGTACTGTCCCCCAAAATATAAACAGGCTAACACTTTCAATATATATTTGGACCTGAAAACAGTGTACTGAAACTTTTTAGACCTTTTTCATCATTACAGCATCTTGGTGGCAAAGTGTTAACAACTTAACATGGTTACGTCTTTGAGCACTGAGAGAGACTAATCTCCACCAAGACAAGTGAGGAAAAGGGATCGACAGAATCGACAAAACATCATATAATCTTGGGAAAATATCCAACGGAGCTTATATATAGGAGGCAGCAAAGCAAAAGGCCTGGAAAACAAAACATATTTAGAGCTTCCCTTAACTTCCACATCCACTACACACTCACTACTAAATCATCTCACTAACACTTGGAAGTTGGTCTATGCGGCAGTCAATTCGATCCTGCACACACACCTACTCTACCTTCCATGCATGTATTATCAGGGAGAAACCGGACGTCTCAGGCGCCGCTTGGCATGTCCGGAACATGAACACCGCGTCGGCCGTCACCGATCCAAAGAGCCAGCCATGGACGTCCCAGAACACCTGCACGGGCAGCCCGTCGACCAGAATGGTCTGGTTGCCTCTGAACTTCCACGGCAGCCTCTTGACCCGCATGACCGGCCTCCTATCGACGCGAATCTCGAGACACGGGTCCCTGACCACCCCGGCCCCGGCGGCGCCGGTGTCGGTGTCGCACTCTATCACGACGTCGTGGCACGGCCCGTCGTGGCAGAACTGGGCCCTGGCGGAGTACACCTTCCTGCCAACGACGTGCTCCCTCCTCGCCACGAGCCGCGCGTCGTCGACGTCCGGGTCCGGCCGGCCAGCGGCGGCGCCCGTCCTGCAGTAAGCCTCCTTCCTCATGTCGCCGAGCAGGAGCACCATCTCGAGGCCGCACACGACGGCCACGTAGAACCCTTCCAGCGGCTCCGGCCCCGCGCCGCCGAACCTGGCGCCGGAGAGGTCCCAGAACACGTCGACCTTGGCGACGCTGCCGCCTGCGGCGGCGGCGCCGGTGGAGGCGACGTCGAGGGTCTTGGAGCCCCTGCTGCGCTTGGAGAAGAGCCACGGCCTGACGTCGGCCCGGCACAGGCGGTCCCCGGACGCGCAGTCGACGGCGACGACGACGCCGAGCGCGGCGGCCTGGCCCAGCCCCACGAGGCCGCGGCCGCCCCGGGTCCACGTGACCGAGACCGCGCAGGGCCGGCCGGCCAGCCGCGCGTGGTAGAGGCACGTGACCCGGCTCCGGCTCCGCGCCGCGGAGGAACCGCCGCCGCCGACGCCCTTGCCCTTGCCCCGGCCGCTGATGGCGCCCGTGTTGCCCGAGGACGAGGAGGACGACGCCGCGTCCGCGATCTGGACGCTCGTTTCCCCGAAGCAGGTCAGGTCCCTCATCATCTATCTCTCGCGCGCGTTTCGACGAACACCTCCCGCGCAACGCGACGCGATGCGACGGATTGCGTTCCAGGCCGTGGGCTGAGTACTGATGAGGGCGCAATGCAACGTGGTAGTGGACAAAGCAGCGTGTGGCAACGGCAAGGCGAGGCAGACAGAGCAAAGCCGCAGCAGGGCAAAGGCGAGCACGAGGACGGAGCAGGGGGCAACGCAATGGCAGCAGCAGAGCAAAGCCGAGTGGCTGGCAGCAGCAGGAGTAGACAACAAGGGGAATGACAATGGGCGCGTGACCGGTGCGTGCGCCGTTGTCGTCGACAGGCAGGAGCGCACGAGCAGCAGCAGCAGCTCAAGGGAAGGAATATTTCCTTGTACCTAGTGAGCAGTGAGTGCTGTTGGGACTTGGCTTTCGGACTGGCTGGCAGATCCTGTCTTTTTTTTTTCTTGTATATAAACAATCTGTTCGTCTAGGGCTGAAACGATCGTATATGATCGTGGATTATTACTGCTGACTGGTTTAGTATAAAAGAAAAATACTATTTTAGCTAAAAATTTACGATCGTTTACTACCAAGCGAACAGACCGAAAGTAGGCATATGCCTATATATATATATATGTATGCTGCCACGGTCAGCCCGTTGCCTAGTAACGAGAGTGAACATGTCATCGTAGGGTGCGGTAGATCAACAATAATATATTGACCTCCCGGTAGAGCACGTACCGGCTTCAGTTTTTTTTTTTGGCTTCATCTACTCTCGCTGGCTCTGTGAGAGAAGGAAAGAGAAATTATTATAATAATAATGTGACTACTCTGCAGTAAAAACTTTCAAGTAAAGGGTCGCAAACTTGGTTTTCCCTTTGTTCTTTGTTACCACTGAAATCCCTTGCTGTGAACTGTTGAAAATTCGGCGTAATCTTAGACGAAATTAGAATGTTGATGCAATTTTTTGCGTACTAAAACATGAATACATTCTTTAGAAGAAATTTGACGAGAGCTTATCAAAGTTTGTAAAAATTGACTTCCCAAAACAAACCTAACCTTACAGCTAGTCACCATTTTTTTGACCGTTTTGACCACCACTGACTAAAGAATGAAGAAGTTAAATAAAGGACCATATATATAATTGATATATATTACTTTTTTGTCCATAAAGCACGGCAATATACTGGTAGAAAAATATATACCATTGGCATAGGATCCTCCAACCTCCATATATATGAATCACTTGGACAATGTACACATATCCGATCCAACTGTGAGATAGGTGTAGGGATGACAATGGATCGGATACGGACGGATATCATTGATATTACATTTGTTTTCATATTTCTATCCGGACTCGGATTCGAATATGGATAGTGTCAATCATGCCGGATAGGATACGTTTGAATATCGACATCATAAATATGCAATTTGAGTATTCGGATACGGATACGGTATCGGATGTTGAATATCCGGACTCGGATACAGACATATATGAATCCCTCTAAATGGATTCGGTCTCGAATACGGTCGGAAAATATCTGTAAAATTTTTGCCCCTGGTTAGGAGTGGAGAGGAGCGATGATGTCCAAGGCCACGCACACGACATTCACATGTAGAGGAGAGAGGCGGCCGGAAAGCAAACGGACGGCTTTTTCACCAGCAAACAAAAGCCAACGGGGAATTGAAGACAGGGACACAAGAGTTGTTGGAATCTACTTAATCCATCCCAAATTGTAAGACGTTTGATTTTTTTGACACTAAGTTTGACCACTCGTCTTATTCAAAAATTTATGTAAAATATCACTTCTTTCGTTGTGGTTTGGTTTATTAATAAAAATTCTTCAAGAATGACTTAAATTTGACTATATTTGTATAAATTTTTTGAATAAGACGAGTGGTTAAACTTGGGGCCAAAAAAGTCAAACGTCTTAGCAATTTGGGATGGAGGGAGTACTACTCATGATGCAGGTGATATATACTGACACCGATCGATCGTGCATGCATGCATGCATGAATTCATGTAGCGACAAGATCTTGGGATGAAAACGCATCTAACGCACGCGCATACCAGTATATACAGCCAGATCGGACATATATACATGCGCTCAGTATATATGTTAAGACAGCTACCAGCAGTCATCCGTGTCGTACGTGCCAAGGCTTATACAACTGTTTGTTTTTCAGATGATCAAGTGTAAGTACAGGGGCAAAGTTAGAATTGAGACAAGAGACGTGATAAGTACGCTGTTGACCTCGGTATAATTGAATTGAATACATGTCTGATTCCATGGAGTATAATATAGAGAGAGAAAAATCTATACAACCTTCTAACTTTTTACTTTTGACATGGTGTAACATCGTGTAGATAACCCCTGAGGTGGTTTTGAAACCATGGTATTTGGATGTCAAGGATGACACATGGCGTTTGGCAATGCTAGCTGACATCTAATGCCAATGTGGCGTCAGGGTCCTCCCGTCAAGTCTCCTTCAACCATCATCGGTTGTCCCCTTTCTCACGCCCCTCGTTCCGACTAAGCTATGAGGTGGCATGGTCTCCCTCCTCCTTCGCTCTTGGCCATCTCCCTTTGTCGCAGTGGTAGGTGGCGCACCTCCATTCGGCCTGGCATGCCAAAATAGGAGGGTAGCGCCACAAGGAAGCAAGATATCCATTAGCGTGGCCTTCACCAACTCTTGTAACTGTTGCCGCCGTCTCAATCTCCTTCGAGACATGTCTATTGCATCCACACGATTCCTCCGCACGCACGATCGCGACTTTACTCAACATGCTGTTGCCCTTGGATTTGCACCATGGCCACTAGAGACGCACATAAATTGCAAACACCGATGTGATGTCCTCTTCACATCCGGATGTTGTGCTCTGCCAACGCTATCGCATCTGCGTAGAGTGTAAGCACGTATGCAAGATCCCCATCTATCCTTCTCTATCCGATGCCACCCTAGTGGACCACAGAGAGCACCAGCAAGCTGGATGCAAATCTAAGGGTGTCGATGGCCTTGGTGCGACTATGCTAGCGATGTGGTTGGATCGACTGCGCTGAGATTGGAGTGCAGGGTTACACTATGGGCAATGGTTTTGTGGGTGGCAACAACTCTATGGCCATCTGGGTTTGACTGGTAGGCGACAGGGAGGTGGAGGGACACCAGTGGAGAAATGAGATCTAGTCCCGGTTGGGAACTAGCTCTACTCCCGGTTTTCCAACCGGGACTAAAGGTTGAGATCTTTAGTCCCGGGCACATAACTGGGACTAAAGGTCCATCCCCAGGAGAAAAAAATAAACGAAGTAATAGGGAGACCTCTCTTGCGGTGTATGAGATTCGAACCCAGGACCTCTCTCCTCGCGCATAAACTCCTTACTAACTCAGCTGTACACCACATGTGACAGAGTCTTGGACACTCTCCTTTTGAATTGACCCATGGGATACCTTTAGTCCCGGGTGAAAGACCTTTAATCCGGGTTGGTAATACCAACCGGGACTAAAAGGTCACCCTTTAGTTTCGGTTGGTATTACCAACCGGGACTAAAGGTTGAAGGACCTTTAGTCCGGGTTGGTAACACCAACCGGGACTAAAAGGTTGACCTTTAGTTCCGGTTTTAGGCTCCAACCGGGACTAAAGGTGGCATGCTGCGAAAGCCTGTCAGGACAGGAGCCTTTAGTCCCGGTTGGTAGCTTCAACCGGGACTATATCACACCCAATTTTAAGGATAAAATTGAATGCACTAAACTCATGTGTGCCCAGGGATCAGTCACACACATAAGTTGACAAATTATAAAAAGTATTATCACGGTGTATCTTACATAACGAATAATAGCATCACATTGACTTACATAACACGGCGGAAGATAAAAAGATAACTCTCTCGTGGAACTCCATCACAGGGACGGTCAACTGGTTGACCACAAGCCTAATAATCCTCAGGAAACTCCTTATATCCGTTGTCATCTGTTACCCATCCGGAATTTTTATCCAAATATGGAAAGTAAACAAGCGTAAGTACGTCCCGTACTCAACAAGATAACATGGGGTTATGAAGCTCAAAAGGTTGACACTTGGTTTCTTTAGATTAGCACTTTTAGTAAGTCAAGATTTTATCCTCAACTATTATCAAGTTATACTTAAGCTCCCATTTAAACCCACGTGATCATATATCTGATCCAATTGAGTCATGTGACATCATCATAATCATCTCGTATAAACAACATTATAAGTAGCCATCTATTCATGTGAGTTTTCCGGCCGCTTCGTGACCGTGAGCACGGGCTGTTATAACAGCTTTGTTACCCTCTGCAGAGGGTGGTGCACATTCACCATGAGTCGTGATTCCCATATGCCCGGGTTAATTACTCCCATATCACTACCAAGGTGAGCGGACATGGTACACTATGGAGCCATTTCATAGGTTTCTCTAACAAGTTAGGGCCGCTAGGTTTCCTTGGCAGGCAGATGTAGGAACCCCCCTTTCCTATGGCACATATCCATCATGGCTATACACATAGGAGCAGAGGCGGTCCTATATCCAACGTGGCAAGCCCCTTTTGCCGCCATAAAGGTAACCTCTAATAAGCTAGAAAAGGTCCTATTATGAGCTAAAATCGTCGAGCCATATGACCCTCACGGTTGCCTTTATCGGTCCCAGCTTTTGCTTGATGAGATAAGTCCTTATGGAGGGCCGAGAGCAATATGATCAAAAGTCATTTGCACCATCGCCATATGGATCAGTTGTTATAAAGCATGTTTTACCTTTAGTTCCATAGAACCATTCACCATCAAATAGATCATGTTCAGTTAGAGCACTAGCAATCTACCCATATGCAATTAACACATAGGAGACAAGGAACAGAATAATCAATCACTAGGATGTCCTTACGGGTATCAAAATTAGACACATGCAAATGAATAATTAATAAATGGTGAATAGGCATCAAGGTAGGTCCCATGCTATACTTGCCTTGGTTCACAAACTCGTGCTAGTCCTGCTGGTCGTCGAAGAGTTCT